ATTTCTGGTGTCCTCCGCCATGATATTGCTAGAATATTGCTAAAAGCGGCGTCAAACTCAACTCACTCACTCACTCTTCCACGGAGGGACGGAATGAAATTACGATCTATCTGTGCGGAAGCAATGATTGCGAATGCATGGTTTAGTAAATGTATCATTATTTTATTTATACTCTTTGTGAAAAATGTTCAATACTTTCCAAAGTATATTCAGTAAGTGGGGAACATGTTTTTAGACTGAAGTAGTGAACTCAAAGTCAATGTATAACGTAAGTGGTGAGATAAATTCACTCGTGCTTAAATAAACTAAACCACAGACTCAAAGCTTAATTGCATCGTGTTCACGCCCCAACGCACATGAACTATGAGTGTTCATACTTGCGTAAACATGAGCTGCAGGCTATACTACTCTTAAGATTATAGATAGCCACGTTTGTGTACATTTATTATGGCACATATGTGAATCAGATATCTTATGCATATTGTGTTATCATTGTTATTACAGGGTGTCTTCTGTCACCACTCTGTGGCCTATGGTTAGTCACGGATGGTAACACCGACATTCCACGGATACAACACATATGACATTCTCATGAAAACGGCTACCAGCAACTCTTCATTCCCTAAGACCACAAACTTAGATTGTAAGCCGCACAAACCGAAGGTAAGTGATCATCAACAGAACGTCTTGAAAGATGACATGACCACGGTACAATCAGAGGAACACTCTGAAGCCCTTCGGAAGTCGTGAACGTTATTTTCCTGAATGAGAGCTAACAAATATTGCCGTATGATGTTTTCGTATTTGTCTGTTGATTTACCCGTCTTGATCACGTTTGTGAAGACATTTGTTTGGCAGGCAAATACCTGATACCACTGAATGTAATGTATGTGTTGATTACTTGAAATGATTAACATATTATCATTCGTAAACACTAAACACTTACACAGCATTGACTGACATAGCAGTAAACACGCCTCTTGCGACACTCATGGGGTGCTGAAGATTTGATTGTTGGTAATCATGTGATGTAATGTAATGTTTGGTAATGTAATTGCCGAACTGGGACTTTAATTAAGCTGTGAATACAGTCTGATGAACAATAGGACTGATCTAGTCCTGTGAAGGACAAGGGAACAGCACATGTTTTGTAAGCAGAGGTTCTACAAGAGCCAGCCTAGACAAACTGTTTCATTCTACAGGTATTTAGGTTTAACATTTGTGCTAAAGCTTGTCTGGAGTAGGACCCAGGCTGTATGACTATATCAAGCCAATAAAACACATTTGGGACTGATCGTTTGAGAATTAGGTACTATTTGGTGAACAAACCATTTCATATTTTTAATTCTTTGGTTACACATATTTTCATCGGGGTTCGATTCCAAACATGGGCACAATGTGTGAAATCCATTATATTGCTGGAATATTGCTAAAAGCGGCGTAAAACCACTCTCACTCTCTCATTTATTATCAAGCAGCATATTTATACCGTACTCATTTATTATCTTGCAACACAGTACTTGATAATTGACACTCGAAAAACACATATATATTTTATTTTCAAGTTTTGTTTCTATGAGTTTAATTAATCAATACTCACTAATGCTGAATGAAAACGTATCTGTTTATAAGAAGAATGCTCGTTTTATTCCCTATTTTAGTACTTGCGCAGTGTTGAAAAACATTAATATTTGTAATATTTGACAAGATCAACATGAACTTTCTGAAAGTAAATGGGAGAACGTGTTTCAAGACACATGCTGCTCAGTTTTTAGACAAGTAAACTACGTACACAATACAAATCATCAACGATTGCCCGTGAAAAGATAATACAAAGATAATCAAATCTTATTCATTTCTAAACCATAAACATATGCCGTTTAGTATGACACTCACTCACTCACTCACTCACTCACCCTGCCAGCCAGCCAGTGACACAATGAGGCCATGCTCTGATATCGACTCTGATATCTGAACCTAGAACACTATTACTTCACAACAACACCTCTAGCAATTTGTAAGAAACCCATCACAATCCTACAGCACACTTCGATTCTCCCTATTTCCACATTTTTCGTGGCATGAAGTCACAATGGAAGACTGCTTAAAGACCATGTTGGCCCATTTATGGTGGTTAACAGTGCATACGAGGAGCTATCAAAAAGTTTTGAGCCTAAAATACTTAGGCAAAAATGAATAAGCTTGAGTACAGAGCAGTCATAAAGTTTTTGTCCTTGAGGGCCACCCAGCGAGGCACATTGAAGAGCGACAGCAGTACGGGACATTTATTGCCACAGAGAATGTTAGTTCACTGAATGTAAATTCAATGAAATGAAACCTCTGTATGCAATACATATTTCCATTACCATATTGACTCCCATAAACACGATGTGGATTTTAGAACATATATCACCGAGGTCCTAAGTATGGCGTGACGTCTTTTAGAGGAAAAACAAAAATAAATAACTTTAAAGGAACTTCAAAGGAAAATGTATATGGCGGAGTTGTAGACCAAACGGACAGTAGCTTGGCTTTTTTTCAGACCCTGTAATTGCTTTGGTATTTTGTTTTTAATATGAAGTAAACCTCCTCACTGAAAATATATACGCGTGATTGTTCAGTTATACAGTGTAGTATACTTGTGTATATCATTTCTAAATGCCATCCAAAGATCTATTATACTTTCATTCCAACTGTGATCTGGGTCTAGTTATCTTAGCTGCGTTTAGGAAGTGATCTCGCAATCTCCATGTTGTTAACTTCATGAAGAAAGTTTCATGCAAATCAGAATAATATGACGGTTTGGTTATCACGTGTGAGGGCATGTGTGTGCATGTTTTTGTGTGTCACTGATACTTTCGTTGCTATTTAAGTAAGATATTAAACAGTCTGTAAGCGCAGGATTCAGTACGACCGCTAAAAGCCACAAGCTTCGAGTCAAACTCTGGCCTATAATTGACACGTCAGAGATGATTACAAATATGCATACCGATAATGGCAAATGTCACGATCGTGCCTCGTCATACATCCTCGACTGGTTTGAAAGAGCTCATCTCCTCATCAAATGTGCAATGCCTACGCAACCGTAAATGGCTTTGCAAACAATATGTTAAACATGTAGATACGTTAATCAATAGGGACAAAACATTCTATTTTATATTCTCAACAAAATTTAATATACACAATATATTTATTGCAGATATGTACAAAATATTCCATTAATGATTGTAGGTGGGAGACAAACACGGCCTCGTACACAGTCATGTCCAAGGTTTGTATACATACTTTCTTCATAGCAAGAATTAAGAGACACAGCAGTTAGTTACCCTCACTGGTAATATCACTGAGAAGATGTATCTTCAAGTAAAATTGTCTGTTTTCAATTGCTTGGTTCCCGAATTGTTTTCCCGAATGTTAAGTTAAGTCAGTATATATACACAAGTAGAAATTATGAAGTTAATAATTCTGTTATTAAACGATTACTCGTACGAAGGAAATATGCGGATAATATATTAAAATTCCCTTTTCTTGTTATTTTACTTTGATGTGTTTGGCATTACTGAAAATATTTAACAGTTACGGTGGGAAAATGAAAACAAACCTATTTGCCAGACATTTGCATTGCATGGCCGAAAAGACATTTTTAATTGTAGCTAAACACGTTGAATTAATAAAAGTCATATGTTCCAGGTACTGGCATGTCTTCGAAAGAACGTATTGCTGATAGCAAACCTCACTTCAGTTACTCTGGGTGTTACAATAGGACTGCTGTGTCGTCCTCTCAACCCCTCTCCTGATGTGGTCAGCCTCATCTCCTTTCCTGGGGAGATATTTTTCAGAATGTTGAAGATGCTGATTCTGCCCCTGATGGTGACAAGCATTGTTACTGGTAATAGAATATTTCTTTTGTTTTTCACATCTCCGCCACCTCCACGTCGTCCACCTGGGCGGTGGGTTAGCCTAATGGTTAAAGCGGCCTCTCGTCATTCATGAAGACCCCGGTTCGATTCCCAACATGGGTAAAATGTGTGAAGCCAATTTCTGATGTGTGTTGCCGTGATATTGCTGGAATACTGCTAAAGCGGAGATAAACCATACTCACTCACTCATTCACTCACTCTCCCACCTAAAGAGGCATTCTAATTCTCAAATGTTTTATCTTTCAATAGAATATGTCTTGTCGTATCATGTATCAGTTTCTGGCAGTTTGTGTCACTGTAAAATAGAGTAACATTATTTCATTAAAAACGGGATGTGAGTTCCCAATATAACCGTTCTGGTAACCAGTAAATATAAATCACCAACGCCTGAGATTAACCAGCTGACCTTATTGGGTGAAGGACAAAATGGCGGTGCAAATGATATTATAAACTCATGGGCAAAAGAAAGTGAACACTTTCTATTTTGAATTTTTGGAAAAGGTGTCCAAGTTAGTAAAATCCTTTTAGGCCGAAAAGGCCAGGTGAGAAGACGACCACGGCCCCCAGCGAATCGACAAGAACTTGAAGACGCTCTCAGGAACGAGTGGAATAGGATTCCGAATGACGTCATTAAGCGGCTGACGACATCGGCGAGTCGGGCGTGTATTGCTGCTAGCGGTGGTCACACTCATTATTCGTGTCTGCGTGACCTGAGACTTGACATGATGGAGGCATTCCATCATTGACTCTTGTTGTCTCTGTGGACTGTGCTATTCCTACCCCTCTGTTCATTACATGACACGCGCTCTTTATCTGTGAGGGGTTTATCATAGACAATGTGGGTGCATTGTCCCAAATGCTGGCTTTATAAAATGTACTATAACTTAAAAACATTGTATGTTTTGCTTTGATCTTATCGATCATTAATAAGGGTGTTCACTTTCTTTCGCCCACTAGTTTATATGGATCATCTGTTTGACTGGCGTTTTAGAAGCTGGTGAGTAAAAAGAAAAGTAGGACGCATATATTATATTATACTGCTGATCATGGCGGTATGCATGAAAATGATTAACGACAAAAATGGATATTGGTAAATAATGCAGTAACAACTGTTCGTGAGGCGGAACAAATATTGAAGTGATCGCTGGGATGCTCTGCTCTGTTTTATGAGTTCATTGTAGGCAAATAGGATGAGATATCCTTGGTCTCTGTTGATTGAGGGTTTGTGTCAGCGGATTTGATCTGCTTTTGCCAGTTGTATTTTTGTGCAGCTCTGTGTTTTTTCGATAATATTTCTACATTGTCCCACTTGATGTAGTCAGGATAGTTGATGATGTCTGACATTTATTGTGTGTCATAATTAATAATGATTAACTACTAAGAACAACGTACCGAAGGATGTTTTTGAATTGTCACATCCTTCCTTGCTTTCTGAATCCAATTCTGAATTAGCCACTATCATGAATATAGTGAGTCCATTCAGAGTTAAGGTGCAGGGACTTGAACTGACAAAAAACAATGGAACGTATATATCATTGGATGATCATATATACCGTTTCAACACAGCCACAAAATAGTGTTTTGAGGCTTCCATTTAGAAATGTTATAATCGCAATTCCCATTTGGTTATTTCTTATTCCTCACAATCGAAGACCTTTCAACCATTACTTCTGACAGGGCTAGCAAACCTTAATGGAAAATCTGCAGGCAAGATCGGCTTGATCACCATCGGCTACTACATCTGCACCACCTTGGTTGCAACCATCGTCGGTATCATCCTCGCCATCTTGATCAGGCCAGGTCATGTGATCAACAATGACGTCATCACAGTCAAGTCTGTAGACGATACCCCATCGCTGTCTGCTAGAGATGTGTTCCTGGATTTAGTTAGGTTGGCATCATCATCATACTGCTATTGCTATTGTTGTTATATACTCAGCAGTAAAAAAAACGTCAGTACGAATTTAAAATTAGATAGGCACTGTAATCAAATTATTACAGAAATGGACATAATAAGCGTACAATATCCTGACACATCAATGAATACCTCAGCACAATTTCAAGACATTACGTGAACATTTGCAGTCCATTCAGACTCTTAACTTCAGTATCTAGTGTGACAACCACGAGCGGCAATAACAGCAGCACAGCGTCTATGTATGGAGTGCACCAATCGATTGATGAAGGCCATTGACACCTGTAACCACACTCTGAGAAAGACCTTGCGCAATAAATCGTCTGTGTTCGGCTTTGGTATGGCAGCGTCCGCCCGGAGAGCGGAAGGTCGCGGGTTCGATCCCCGACCGCAGCATACCAAAAGACGTTAAAATATGGTACTTGTTGGTCCCTGCCTGGCGCTCGGCATTAATGGGTACAACAAGGACTGGTCGGCTCGGAGTCAGTATAATGTGTCTTAGTGGGGTATTCATGCTTCACTGCGGCATGGTATCTCAGTGAGCTAGCACTATAAAACCAGCTTAAGTCTGGGCTAGTAAAAGCAGCCGCACATACACATACACACGCATGCACGTTGTCATATGAGCGAAATATTCTCAAGTACGACGTTAAACCCAATTTCACCTCACCTCACCTAGTAACATTTGATAAAGTGGAACATAGTGATAACAATATATTTTTTTCTGTTCAAGGAATATCTTCCCTGATAATATAGTACAAGCAACATTTGCAATGAGTGGCACCGTGTATGTGAAGCTGGACACACAAACTGCCATCCAAAATGAACATATTAATGGAAAAAACTCAAGCAATAATGATACAGATACCACAGAAGATGAAGCATGGACACCGACTTCCGTCTACAAGCCAGGGATGAACGCGTTAGGTATGATATTACTAAGTTGGTCATTTTCAGCTGTTGTGGTCCAGTTGTGTAGTTTAAATGCAGTAGTGGTTGAATACCACTTTCCCCTTGTTTATCAGGTTTTACAACATTGAGAAATAGTCACATCAAACAAATGTATGTCCACCCAGATAGAAATGAAATTGCAACGTTGCTAAGCAAACCAGAGTACAGTGCAGAATCTATCCATGTCTATGTATTGTGTAATGTTATTCAGAAAAAAATATTACACTGAAGTAAGTGTATGACTTTTATATCAAAATGTACTATATGCCCGTGGAATAAGGAAAAATAATTGAATGAAACATGTTCAACTTGCAATTGTTTCCTTACTGAAAAAAGGGAGGAGGGTCCTATACTTCATATAATTCTCGTGATTCGTTTACAACTTTGCCTACAGGTATATTAAGCTACTTCGTCATTTTTGGAGTTATCCTTGGCCGACTTGGAGACAAGGGAAAGGTCGTCTTGCAGTTCTTCGTAACTCTAAACGATATAACCATTCAAATGGTATGGCTTGTGATGTGGTGAGTGCCCTAATAATGGTCCACAGTCGGGTATGAAAGACACGCAAGTGAATTTGTCTACAACACCTTGAAGTGTTTGGCAGCAAAACTATTGTAACTTCAAACAAATTGCTGTCATTGTTATTTATCTTCCTGATCATATCCCATGTACGCGGTAGCCTCCCCTCCCTCCCCCCCCCCTCTCTCTCTCTCACACACACACACACACTCACACACACAGACTCACTCTCTCTCTCTCTCTCTCTCTCACACACACACACACACACACACAAACACATACCATATTCTTCTATTGTTTTAAAATTGAACAATCATTCTAAAAAAAGCTAACAATAACTTTTAGTTTTTAATTTTATCAGAACATACTTTATTCATTGAAGAAAAGGATTGGGCACAAGTTATATCCAGTTTAATGACGCCCTCTCCCAATATTTACCACAATTATAATTACATGAGAAACAGAGAACATATACATGAGAGATCTTGAGAATATAACAGATCAGAATTAACAGAGGAATCGTTTGCTTTGATTGATGTTATGATGGACATGTTTGAAGGTATTCATATCTTCTTCAGTTGAGAGGTCTGCATTGGCATAGAAATAAGACATATATCTAGTAAATATTTGTTTTGTAAAATATCATCTATGTTAGCTAACAAAGTTTCTCTATGTAATCTATAACAGGGAAAATCCAAGATATAATGATATACATTTTCACAAAGACATCCACAAGACCATGATGGATCGGTTATAATGTTGATTCTATACAAATCATAGTTGAGCGTACCTACATTGTATCTTAACCTTGTGTGTAAAATATTTAGCTTACGTATACCAGATGAAAAGTATGATGGGACACTATTACGCATTGTTGTAATATTTGTTTTAAATAATGAAATGGAGTCACAGTTTCTTACAGTTAATTGGAGATTGTTCCAGGCGTTTAAAGTCGACGGAATAAATGAAGAGGCTGAATATTTTAGTTTTGTATTGGGCACAGTATAACTTCAGCATTACGTAAGTTATAATGAGTCCTTTTTCCTACAACACTAGTTGGTAACAATTCATTTTAAAAAGACGGGGCGATATCATGTTTAATCTTATAAAACAAGCTTCATTTACGCTTCTTTCTTCTCTCTGATAACAAATCCCGTCCAGTCTCGTAATAAAGAACTCCTCTCGGCTTGTATTTGGGGAGGCCAGTTACTTTACGAGCTGCCTCAAGCTGTAGTCTTTCCAACTTGTTCGAATCTTCAATCAGACACCCTTCCCATACCTCACATGCATATTCAAAATGTGGCCTTACAAACACTGTCTAAATTCTTGATAACGTTTTCCTATTCAATGTATATTTAAATTTTCTAAAGGCACCGATCACTCTAGAGGTTTTTTCCACAATATTTCCGATAAGACCAACTGCCATTTGAAGAAAAAGTTAATCCCAAATGTTTGTGAAAATAAACAATAGCTATACAATCTCCATCAAAATATTGTTTTAATAGGTTGGCCACTATCTTGTAAAGAAAATATCACAGCTTCAGTTTTGTCAGGATTATATTTATTCAGCCATTCCTTTGCCCAACTACTCAATAAGGTCAAATTATCATTCATATTTTTTCCATTAAGTATTCATCTTTTGAAATAGCCCCAAGCGCCATATCATCAGCAAACCGCCTGGTTAAACAATAGAGTATATCGGCTATTTCATTGACGTAAACAATGAACAAAACAGGATCGAGTACTGAACCTTGTGGAACTCCAGCTTTTAACATTCTCGGCGTGGATATAGTTCCATTAACAAATAGTGATATATTACGATTGCTTACATAACTTTTAAACCAATTGAGTAACTTTCCTTTAACACCATACATTTCTAACTTTAGCATAAGCCTTTTGTGCCCCACTCTATCAAACCCTTTAGATCCATCGCAAAATACCATGCAGTGGTTTTCCTTGTTGTCAAGGGATATACAAATTTGATTATAAATTTCAATCAGTTGATGAGCAGTTGAATGGCCTATTTGGAATCCACATTGATACTTATATAATAACTTATTGTCTAAAAAATAGTTATAAACATGTAAAAAAAATGGTCTCTCAAACAACTTTCCACCACAACTAATAAGCGATAACAACAACTGAGGGACATATTGAATAATAAACACAGTACAGGACTAATAGAGTTGACCGTTTTCTTAAGCAATTGATGACTGATTCTGTCGGGTCCAGCAGCTTTCTTTATAGGCAAGCATTTAATATCAGATATTTCATTACTGATAAAGTTATCTTTTCCAAAAACGCGTCAGTGCGTTTGTCAAACTGGGGCAGGTCTAAATTCTCATCTTCTTCTAAATTGCATATAGATTCAAAATATTCATTCAACATATTAGCCTTTGCCAAGTCAGAGAACGCTGACGGACCCTCTTCATTGCCATTTCTCTTTAGAGCGGGAATGTAGGAAGCGGAAGCGGAATCGGACTTTTTAACTATGTTTCTTAAGAGTTTCCAATATGAAGATTTATTTTCAGCATAAAGCTCAAAAGTGAATTCATCGTCAATTATTCTGAGAAAAGGTTTTGATTGTAACCAAACATACATACATAACTAACTATACGTTGGTAGTGAAACCAACAAGCTCAATTCATACGAGTTCCTGCTTTAACTGCAATTTGAGTAGAGCGCGTGTGTCAACGTCATTTCTATCATATATTTTGCAGGTATTCACCAGTGGGGATAATGTTTCTGATAATAGGGAAGGTGTTATCCGTGGAGGATCTGACAAGCACGACCCAACAGCTTGCCATCTATTTAACCACCATCATTGCTGGCACCAGTCTCCATGTTCTGATACTCTTACCTCTGTTGTATTTTGCTTTAACTAAGAAGAACCCGTTCAGAATCATCAGAGGAGTAACACAGGCGATCGTCACGGCTCTTGCAATTGCTTCCAGGTAAATAACCAAGGCTATGCTAATGTAGTCTGTCTCGCAGTCCCTCGTCATTTTCCCTTCGAACCAACCCTATCCTATTAATCCAAAAGCTCAAATGAAGCAAGTTCAGATATTTTCTCTCCCTTCTCACTAGGCCTTCTTTCAAATTTAAGTATTTGAATAATTGTTGTTCGTTTCTATCATAATTAAGTAGGTTTAGAAGGCTGAGTCTTAGTCCATATGACAAGCCATAACATTTTTTTTAACTGCATTAACTTGAACTTTGATTTTTGTGTTTACAAACTGATAATTATAACATATATTTCCTGAAGACTTTTCACCGAATACTGACCTCTGACTATATCTGTCTTTTGGTATATCCCATGGTCCTTATCTTGTTTCACTCGTGAAGATTCTGGTTAGAATTTATCTTCAACAACCCATAATGACTATCGTAAGGTGCGACGCACCGGATCAGGTGGTCAAGCTCGCTAACCTGGTTGATACATGTCATCGTAGATCGATGCTCACGATGTCAATCACTGGACTGTCTGGTCCAGACTCAATTATGTACTGACCGCTGTTATATCACTGGAACATTGCAATAGTGCGGCGTTAAACAACAAACCAGTGAACTTTATTTTGTTTCACATTCAGCTCTGCCACACTGCCAGTAACTATCCGATGCTGCGAAGAGAACCTGAAGATGAACAATGCCATCACTCGCTTCGTACTACCTCTTGGGGCAACGATCAACATGGATGGTACGGCAATCTTTTATGTGGTATCAGCAATCTACGTCGCCCAGATGCATGCGATATCCCTGCATTTCTTCGAGATGATTCTTCTAAGGTAAAACAGCAACTCAGCGAAACATACAAATATCTATGGCTTGAAAAGGAATTGTTATATTAGCTTCATATATATATAGTATTTGTTGTTTGACCATGTACATGGCATATATTCATTTTGTGAATTGCGTAGTGTAAACACAGCATAAACTTTCCAATTACGCTCCAGAAATAATTTGCCGATGCATGTGCAAACTGTAAAGGATTATCTATTGTTAAGACCCTTGAAGATCCGGGAAATGATCTTTAGTAACCCATAAGAGGCGACTTACGGGATCGGGTGTTCAGGCACGCTGACAAATGACATCCTATCCCAACTGCGTAGATCGATGCTCGTGCTGTTGATCACTTGATTGTCTGGTCCAGATTCGATTATTTACAGACCGCCGCCATATAGCTGGAATATTGTTGAGTGCAGCCTACAACTAAACTCACTCACCATTTACAGTTTAACTATACCTTTTCAAATTAAGTTCTGATTTTGGAGTTGAAATGGAATATGATAACAGTTTTATGTACAACTACAGAGTTGTTCCCCTTGGTTCAAATGATTCAAAATGAATGTTCAAAGCACCTTCAAGATTCATCAGTCTGCATCAATCGGCGTTTTGCTCTTGCTGTACATTTGGAGGTCTTTGTTCTGAAAATCCTGTGAATATTTAGAAACAGAATTTGCAAATAGTGATCATTTTATGTGTGATGTTTGCTCTAAATAGAATTGACACTTTTCATCTGATTTCAAATTATATTTGGTGGATCTATACTGATAATTTTCAACTCTATTTCAAATATCATTTTACATCCGTAAAATAATAATAATGTACATTTAGATGTTTAGTAATACATCATCATAGTCACAATTCTTGTTATTTCTCGAGGATTCCGGATTAACCATCAACCTACATACTATGTCCTCTAGGTGGTTAATTGGATTCACTGTTTCATCCTATATCGATGTTTTGGCTCGTTACTCTTTCACTTGTCTGCCGGTTACACATTATTTACAGGAGGTCTACAGCTAGAATATAAGTGTGTGTCACTGATAAAAGATGGGGTTGCCACTATGTAGGTTTTGAAATATATGGTTTCTTTGTTGCAATTTTTAAACATTCATATTTGGTGAAATGCTCAAGATACGAAAAATACCATTCACTAGCTCAACAAAACTGGGTATAACGGCGATTGTTTCAGTCTGTGTACAGTGTTGACAAGTGTGGGTGCTGCAGGAATTCCAAACGCTGCTATTGTGACATTGATGGTCATCCTGTCTTCTGTCGGTCTGCCAATTGAGAGCATCTCTATCCTGCTTGCGGTGGATTGGTTCTTGTACGTATCATACAACCCAGGACCTTTCCTGGTGTGTACGTTCTAAATGATTGGTTTATGGAACTAATCACTCAAAACGATTTAAAAGGAATGTAAACAGTCCATTCGTGACCAACTCGTGTTATTCCGGGACAAGCCGAATAACGACTCGTGCCCCTCTGGGAGGATTTCATATTGGCGCATGAACATCAGAACTACTTTAAAGAGGAACGATAACTCAATTCTTGTTTGATTCCAATGGTACTTAATATCATCGATGTAATCATACATTATATTGCCGTTTATGTTTTTAAAGAATTAAACCTTTTTGATACAACTAAAAGAAGGAAAAAAACTTATTTATTACAGACTTATTCTGACGTAATTATTACCTGATGTTCACATTATATTTCCAATTATATTTCTGGTTTGCTTATCACAAATGGGATTTGTTTTATTAAATATGTAAATAAAATTTATAAAAGCTACATTAAATCCGAAAGCAGAAACTCAAAATTGACTTTAAAATATTTCTCAAACTGAACATTCGTGTAACCTTGCTGTCATACCCCAGGTGGAATTTTAAATGAATTCGCTGAAAAATATATGAATGACCAAAAACAAAGTCAGACTGAAATATTCCCAGAGATTTGAAATATATGCCCAATGTTAAAGATTAAAGATGATTAGTTACATGCAGATATATGTCTAATATTATTGTTTGGAAACTCGTAGCGATTTATAATTACATTTCCTAAAGTTGTTGGAAGCGCACGTAAAATCTCCATAGCAAGCCCGCAAGATCGTCAGAAATACCCTTAGTTGGACCCATGAGAGTCGTTATGTCAACGAACGCACGTGTGTGTATTTGAAAATCTCACCGTCAATTGCATGATTCTTATCAAAACTTCATTATAGGCAGCAAAATCCTGTTAGCTACGTTCTTTGTACTTTCAATATGACGATATATATTTTTCATGATTTTTTAAACAAAGACTAATGCCATAAACGATTTAAGTACTCGGGATTATTTTTATCAAAGCACCGCAGTCATTTACGCGCGTTCTGATTGGTTTGTCGTATTTTCGCACGTAACAAGCATCGATAGGGGGACGAGACGGTTTCTTTTGGTCGTCACTTAAATTATGGTTGTTTTGAGTGATTCAAGCAGTGACTGAAACAGACAAATGGAGTGTAGGCATTCATATGAAAGAAGGTAACAAGGTGTTCGGTAATTATATAACGGAAGGAAATCTCAGGAATGTTTACTCACAAGGTAATGATTTTGTCAGAAATAGCCAAAAGAGGATGGATAAAGAAGTACAAAATACCGATAAAAACCTGGCTGTGTTAACAACAAATACCTAAATGTCAGGTTTCTTCTGAGAAAAAACTCTCCTGAAGAGGCGGTTCCCAAAGTAAACAATATCATCTGCACGAGAGTCTCTAGAGTTCATAAAATCTTAAAATAATGTTAAAAATACTTCAGATTGAAGAATCGTCATGAACCCTAACGCATTCTTCTGAAACACATTTTCAATAAAAAAAACAGCATCTACCACTGACGTGTACCTAATTTCAAGCATCATATACTCTACAGGGGCCGGGTACGCACAGTCGTAAACATCGTTGGGGATTGCTTGACAGCCGCTATGTTGGATCACTTCTTTCCTCAAGCCGACGTTGACGTTGAAGTTGAGATGGGGCCAGAAATGTCCCTTTGTACCTCTACAGATGAACATAACACGGAAGAACTAGTATAATATGTCTTCTCTGTTTAGCAGGTATATTAGTTCTTATTCCGTAATGATTGTATCTAACCATATGTATGGTTTAAGATCCAGTATAGTGTTGTGGCAGCGGAAGAAAGAAATATGAGTCTTCTCATGTTGTAATATGTTGTTTATTCATGAATTAGGCCATCCAGTCAAATTGCAGTTGTACATGTTGATGTAACTAGTACAAAATAAGTGTGTAACAAATACAAGTGTGTAACAAGGTACAAAATATACAAATAGTAAAATGTTCCGGAAAAGCAATCTATTTTAATATGTCTTGTCTTATCTTCCTGTTTGGAATCAATTAATAACACCTTAAACAATAATACAATTGTCAGTGAAAAGGTTTACATTTTCACAAGTCCATGATTTATTTATAGTCACCACTGGGTCATGGGTCAAAAGTAGTTCCTATGCAAATTAGCCAAGTCTTAATGAGGTGAGGTCTGCTGTCTTGTCCTTGGTTTGTATTGGCTGAAGATGTGCAGCATCTTGATTGGATGTTGAATTTAGTTGCATTTGGAAAGTGTGAAGTTTGTTCACTTGCTGTCTTTCTCCCAACCTGGCAAGGTGGTTTGAAAGTCATGGATGGAGGATTTTGACTTTGGTGAATTACAGGTTAGTTACACTAGGTTTTATATAAAAGGAATAAACTACAAAAATATGTTTAATTGTTGAAAGGTTAATTCAGTATTTATTGTAACTGAATTTATGCATTTGGTGGAGGTATATTTTGACCTATGGTTAGAAATTGTTGGTGTCAATAATTTCACTTACAATTGATTCAGATTAATGTTTGAGTCCAAACAGATTGTACGTTTACTTTACTGGTGAGAATTAGCATTTCCATGCTAATTAAAACATACATATTTTTGGTTCTTGGTGTTTTGTTGGTGCCTCACAACACGTGGCCAGTTTGAAGCAAGTTGTCCCATAGATGGTAAGACACGTTGATGTTTCATTGTTTTGAAGATGCTAAATGTGTTCCATAATTCCTAAGGATCTTAATATGAAACTGAACCATTGATTTTGTGATGTCAATTTGTTTTGAGTTCTTTTTATATGTTCAGTGGTAGAGCTGTGATTGTTAATTATCTGAACAATGTGCAATGAAATGAATGTGATAAACTAGGTATTTTGATGGAGTGTTATATATTCATATACATTGTTTCAGACTTGAATTCTTTATACAAACTACCGTAATAAATCCGGACTACAGCCTCAACGGAGTTGTGTCATTGTGAAAGAGCCATCCCCGTTACAAATTTGGAGCCCCCAATGAGGAATGTTGTGAGTTGTGAGCACCTTGTCAACCACCCTGGACCACCGCTTCAGAGTCACCGTGTGAACTACCACCAGAGACTGTGAGACTGACCATGACATAACCATGAACTTGATATAATGTGATTGCCACCCGTACTCCCTTTAATTCAGTTGTATTCTGAATACATTGGTTGGGAGAGAGACAGTAAGTTTCCAGGCTACCGACATGTTATGCCTGTGAGCTATTTATTGCTCCTGACTGTTTCAGGCATGTGGCCTGGTACCGAATTTTATTCATGTATTAGTGATATGCTGTATGTGATTTCTTGAAATTGTGATTGCATTTTGAGGCTGTATGTATTGATGTGTTTTTGCCTTGATTTTGTTATAGTTTAGTTGTTGTCATGTGAAACCTGTGTCACTCATTTTAGACAAAAATCCAGACTAAAACACTACTTTGACATGCATAACTGATTTGCACCATACATTTTTCTAGACACTGCCACTTGCTAGAACTTCTAGTGTGTAGACAAAGTTGATACTCAAGATGAAGGTTATCACTTAAAGTAACAATTAGACTTAGGTATTGCTTAGGTTTTTGGGTAACTTCATGGGGTTTAGTATTATTCTGGTCTTCCTTGCTGCAATATTTTGGCTAGGGTCTGGTGTGTGGTCTAGAAACATGGCCTCAATGGAAGAGGAAGATGTTAAAATTCTAGTAAAAACCATAGAGGAGATGGGTGTTAAGCCTAAGGCTGATAATCCTGATGTGTTTAAACGTTTGATGACAGATTATCTGGCAGCTCAGGGAGAGTCTCCTGCTCCATCAGCATCAGTAGTCCCTTCTATGACAGTTAACTAGCCGCCTAAGATCTCGACATTTATGGGTGAGACAGGCAAGGGTGAGGTGTCATATGCTGTTTGGCGGTATGAAGTTGATCGGTTATTACATGAAAAGGAGTATTCTCCTTCTGTACTTAAGAATGCTATCATTTGGTCGCTAAAAGGGAAAGCGAGTAACATCATGCTTTGTATGAGTACCGATTCCAGTGTGGATGAGATGTTGTCAAAGGTTCACAGTATATATGGGACTGTACAAGAGAAAACCTCTTAAAGATGCTTCTGGTCATAAGTTTGATTCAGTTAAATCTTTTGATGATTTGAGAGCCGAGATGCGACGTATCGACGAAGCACGCTCCTCCACGATGGTTAACACATACATTCCTAAAGTAAAGCAAACTGCTAAAGCTGCTACATCTTCAGACACTTCCGAACTTGTTGGTGTTGTGAAACAACTTGCTGCTGAGGTTAAATCACTGCGTGATTATGTTTCCAGTTCAGGTAAACCCAGTTCTAGGTCACGAGGTCGTTGGTCTCAGGGTCGAAGTTATTCTTCACAACAAAATACAGGCACTGTTACTGTTCAGGGTGATGTTGTTGAGGATGATGATCAAGGTGTTAAGTGTTATCGTTGTGGACAATATGGTCATGTGCAGTATGGGTGCAGAGTGAAGTTGGATCATTTCAGGGGAAGAGGTTTAAACAGGAGAGGGTTTATGAGAAGGAGACGTCGGTAAACCCACATAGTAAATCACTGTCCCCACCTGGTTTTGGTTTGTGGAGAGCCAACTGAAGGGAGCATTTCTGTTGAGGGAGTTTATAGTAAGGCTTTGTTAGACACAGGCTCTACAGTTTCCACTATGAGTGAAAGTTATTATAATTCACACTTCCGTCAAATTCCGCTTCATCCACTTAAGACAATTCTTGAGATAGAATGTGCAGATGGTCAAAGTCTATTGTTATACCTGCTAACAGTAGTGTGATCATTGAAGGTTTTATTGATAAGCGCATTAGTTGTGCTCAGACATGTGCACTGTTGCAGGCTACAACCCGTTCAGTCCTTCCTAGTGATTTGGACATTGAACCAACTGTGTTTATCTATTCTCAGAACCATCATGTGCCAGTTAAAGTGGGTATTAACAATGTTACAACAAGGACAGTGGTTGTTCCTCCAAAGTCTGTTTTG